ATGTTAATTCAGGAATAAACCAACCAGTTTATCTCCTTCACTTAAGACCTACCCAATGCAATTCCAATCTAAGTACTACTTAAACCTGAGTTCCTACTCACTCCCCCTCAATCACAGCAGTGATACATAACATAATTTGACTTAAGAATTGATGAAGACACTCTTCAAAAACAAACACTTGATTAAGCTTCACAGCTTTTTAATCAAGCAACACAATCACTCTTGCTTCACAGCTTTGAGTGATCCACACACCTAACTTGACTCTGCTTCACAGCTTTAGTCAAGGAACATTCAAACACTCTTGCTTCAAAGCTTTGAGTGCTACACAGCCCTTACAATTAGAAACCTATTCCAAGTCACTTATCACAATGATAATTGCTTGGAGTACAATAATCAAACCTATACAGATTACAAATGATCTTCTGATCAATAAAAGGGATGCCTTGCAAAACAGCAGCTCTGTTGAATATATAGCAGCTGCAACTTCAGTTAGGGTTTCCACAAAAACCTAGGGTTAATTCCGTTTGACCTAAAGACCAGATCACAGGACTTTATTAACCAGGTTAGGGTTGAGCTAGGTTACCCCTCAGAAAACGCAGGATTCTGTTCAGGAAAGACTGAGTTATTTTCCTGAAAAAACTCAGACTTATCCAACCTGCAAACCTGTTAGTTCAGAACAGGATGTCATAACATCTGTTATGACATCTGAGAAAACCTGTCTACTGATTTAGCAAAATGTGATCATTTTGCAAAATGCTCAGATACACACTTATAAACATCAGTACTTGAATTACAATATTTTTCTGCAAAGGTACCTAATGAGTCAGTACAAACTAAACTAGAATGTTATGACATCAGTCATGACATTCACACATACACTTGGGTTTTACCAAAAATGCAAGCCAATACCTAAACAACTACAGTCGTTGCCCAAAATTTTGTTTTATGGTTCCGAAACTTATTTGGAAGTTGTTTCCTCGTTATTTAATATCAATTTGAGTTGTAATGTGAATGCTTAACTTAGGTTATCGTTTTTTTATTACTAACTCATTTTGTGAACTTTTGCAAGCTTCCGAAGGTGTCTCGTTACATGAGACTTGTGATATACTTTTGTTTTGTCGAGATTTATATCTTATGCAGGATTAATTATTCGATATTCGAATATCGATTGTAATTTATTTTCACATCGATGATGCTTCGACATTTATTCTGAGCATTTTATTTTTGACTTATTTTCTTTGATTGGTGAAGCTTTGCAAAGATCTTCGAGTTTCTTGCTTTGATACGCTTTGCTACGGACTTTTTGTTTGTTTTGTATTTTTCATATTCTGTTTATATTTCGCATTATCTTTTGAATTCCTTGCCATGAGAAGTAGGACTAGAGATGCATGTGCTGAAGACCTACCCCCGTAGGCATTGCAAGACTGTTTATTTTCTTGTTTGCAAAAAGACCTCAAAAAGGCGCAATTACTTGTTTGTGCAAAAGACCTCAAAAAGGGGCAACGTTGTGTGTTTGTTTAAAGTCCTCATAAAAGGCATTTATTTAAAGTCCTCAAAGAAGACAATTTTGTTAAAGTCCTCAAAGAAGGAAATTCCCCTTCCCTTTTAGTTTGTGCTTGCAATCGAGACAATAAAAGTGGAAAGGGCTCACAATCAGCCCCACATTAACAAGTCCCTTGGTCATTCTTAGCTCGCATCGTACGCTGATGCTTTAAATTTTTTGTCTCTTGTCATTAAGTCAAATAAAAGTGGAAAAATAGGGATCTCAATTGTCCCTCACTCATTGTCATCGCTTTGGTGATATTAGCTCACGTTTATTAATGTTGATGCTTCGAGTTGTTACTCGATTTGTGCTTGAGCTATTCTAATAGAAGAGGGTCTTTCGACTCATCTACCTTGGTTTCATGTACACATAGATCATGATTGATGCTTGTTAGCATCCTTGTTTGTTTATTTCCTTGCATCTTTTCTTGTCTTTTTAGGTTCACCTTTGCATGTTCCCTTAGGATCACTTGTTTCATTTTTGATTCAAGGTAGACATTAGGATTGTAATCCAGGCATGCTAACTTAGGTAGATGTTTCTATTTTGTATTCATACTTTAGGACCACAATTGCATGATAACATTAGGACTGTTAGTCTCCCTTAGACTTTTTCTCTTCCCCTTTTACATCATTAAAACTAAAACTTCTTTTCTTAAGAAAACTCTAAAACACTTAATAATTGAAGATGAGAATCATATGCAGTTGAGTCTTGTAGGGTAGAGTGAATCGATCCAGGCTAAATCTTTCTCTTCTTTCACTTCTGGACTTTATTACGGTTCAAATTACAAACCTTTTTGCAAATAAGCGGAGAAGTAGTGAGTGTCCCTCCAGTGGGATCCATTTTCTATTATCCCATAAGAAACACCAATCAATTCAAATTTTTTTGTCTTTGGACCGCCTTTGGAATTTTCTTTGAAAACCTTTTCCTAAAAAGGATGTATTATTTCATATCCATGCAAAATGACGCATAATTCCTCAAAGGTCGGGTGGTACTATGTCAACTGCTGGAGTGCGAATATAATACTACTCGCTTAAAAAATGCAAACCAACCAGCATTTTCTAGGAGAACTACGAGTTCCCTGACCCTCTACTGTATGAAAGGTGGTACATAGGTACTAAAGGTTCACAACTACGGTGGGCACGACTAATAAAACCTTTTTCTTTGTATATACACTTTGCATACATGCATTTTCCCCATAGCTCATAAGCTTTAGATATGATCACACCCTTTGATTAGAACAACAAGAGTGGTTCCCATGGAGTACCACAGACGTGAGGGGTGATAATACCTTCCTCTTGTGTAATCGACTCCCGTACCCGATCTCTCGTTCGCAAGATCGTGATTTCTCCCTTCTCAGGTTTTTCTTTGATGATTTTCCTTTCCCTTCAGTGGGATAAATAAATATTCGATGGTGACTTCATTGATTTTCTCTTGATGATTTTCCCAATTGCTTCACATGGTATTGAGATTATTTTTGGAAGGAGTTTAAGATTCATTAATTTCGTTACGAAGTTCCAAATGAATTAGTTGTGATACTAGAGATTATATTAAGTGTTTTCTTTGTAACCCATGTTACGGAGCAGAATTATTTGTGAAATGATGTTTATATGAAGATGTGACATCCTTGCTGTTGTTTTACATTTATTTATTTATTAAAAATATTCGTGAGAATCATGGGGTTTTAGAAGGGTGTTACAATGCAAGGACTATACTATGGTACTATATTGTCTACCACTCCCTCTTTGACTGTTGTGGACAAAACAACTGGAATTAAGTATTCTTATTTTACCCTCCAACAGATTTATTTTTGGTTATAAAAGGAAGACTTGGAAGAATAAAAAAGATAACTTATTTTCTCTACAAAACTTACACTGAAACGCTGCTCAACTCTATTTCAAATATTCATTTGTAAAGTTTTGTAAATGCAAGGAAATTTTTTTCGTTAATTTGCAAGCAATGAGATTTTGTTTATTCAACTTGCTATTAACACTGTTGTGTTATTTCATTGTATTCAAACTTGTGTAATATGCTTTCAAGAAGCAACTTTGTAAAGTATTTCAACTCTTAAGTTGATTGTTCCTTAAGAAACTAAGTGTTAGTCAGAGTTTCTCAAGAAGATTAACGGGTAGTATTTATGGTTTGCAACATTGACAATTAGTCTTTGTTGTATATGTAATCAGTTCAGTTATAGTAGATTTATTCCTTGTTTGAGAAGGTAAAATCACCTTGGCGTGTGGACTGAATTAACTTTGGTAACAATGAACCATGATAAAAATAATTATTTCATTTATTCTTGTTCTTGTGTTCTTTATTTTGTCTTGGAAAGAATTTTTTTTTAAATCTAGAAACCCAATTCAAACCTCTCTTTCTTGTGTTTCTCGCACCTTTAACATGGTGATTAAGTTACAACATATTTTTAAAAAAATAATAATAAGTATTTGAATTTTTAATGAATTCCAAGATCAAGATTGATCTTCCTTTTCAGTGTTAGAATTCAATAATATATAAATCTTAATTGCTTAGAATATATTATGAAACTTTTACGAATGATTTGAAGGTTATGCATAAATTTTTAACATTTTGAAAATGAATGAACACTTAGAAAATAAATTTGAATTCGTGAAGTTAACACTCAAACACCAAAATAAATTCTACTGTTTAAAATGAGTGTAATAAAAAATAAAGATAAAAAATATCTTAAATCTCATATGTAGTTATTAATTTTTATTAAATTGTATGATTAAACTCTAGTATTGAACTTTTGGCCAACCTATTTGAAAATCTTATGAGTAGAATACAACAATACATTAATGAAAATGTAAATTTCACCAATCTATCATAATAAAACAATAAAAACAAAATACATAAACATAGATGAAATGATAAGTCATAAAAAATGAAGGGGACAAGAGATTGGAGAAAATTTGAAATGCGTAGGATAAAAAGAGTGGCTTCACTTACCGATACATAACATATTGTAAACGCACACTCCACATTCGTAAAAATAAGTACGAACCCACAAAAAGAGTGACCCACACTCAAACACACATTTTCATATTTTTTTAATATTATTCTCTTCCCATCTTTTTTGGGGTTTCCCCCTCGTGCAAATATCTTACCCTAAATTTCCTTCATCATCACATCACATATATAATTAAAATAAACATTACTACACTATTTACTTTACTATAGTATAAATAAAATAACAATTAACAATAATAATAAAAATTAAAAATGAAAAAGCGTTAAAAAAGAGAGAGAAAAAAGTATAGATAATTTTAGAAAATGGAATAAAACAAAAGAAACAATGACTCGGTTCTTCTCATCTTCAAAGTTACAAAAAGTAGTGTGTTAGGAACAAGGAGGGAGGGTTCATTACTCAGTAGGGGGGGTGTAACCAACTAGCTTCACTCCATTTTTAGGGTTAACACAAACCTTCTTCAAGAGTCTTGTTCTTATGGGTTGTGCTGGTGTTACTCTTCTTGTGTTTTGTTTATGGGGTCTTTTCATACCGTTTTCGTCTTCTACTAGGCTCGGTTCTTCTTCAAGACAGAAGCTTGAAGTTAACAAGCATTTGAATCGACTTAATAAACCTCCTACCAAAACCATTCAGGTTCCTCTTTTTCTAAAGTCTAGATCTTTTGGGTTCAAGTGTTTTTTTTTTTTTTTTTACTAGTTGTAATTGAAAGAGAGAAAAATTTGTTTTTTTATGAGATTATTGATTGGGTTTTGAAACAGTGACTAGAAAGTAGTTAGGAAAAAACTGGGTAATGATTTGTTTTGTTTTTTAAAACGTTGTTGTTGGTTTTTTTTTTTGTTAAAGAGGTTTTTAGTTTGGTTATGTAGTGTTTGTTTTTTTAGTAATGTGAAATGATTTTGTTATTGTTGCAGAGTCCAGATGGGGATACAATTGATTGTGTGCCTGTTTCAAAGCAACCGGCTTTTGATCATCCTTTTCTCAAAGATCACAAAATTCAGGTTTATTTTTTTGTTCATTCAAGATCTATGTTTATGTTCTTTATGTTTTTGTTTGCTAACTTTATGTTTTTGGTTGATTAGATGAGACCTGATTTCCACCCTGAAGGGCTTTTTGAGGAGAACAAGTTGGATGAAAACAAAGAAAAATCAAGTGCTCCCATTAATCAACTATGGCATGCTGGTGGGAAGTGTCCGGAAGGGACGATACCTATTAGGAGAACAAAGGAGGAGGATGTTCTAAGAGCGAGTTCAGTTAAAAGATATGGAAGGAAGAAGCATAGGTCGCCCGCCCCTAAACCGAGGTCGGCTGATCCCGGTATGGAAAACCAAAGTGGTCATCAGGTAAGACATGGTTTCAAGAGAGTCTTGTTTCGATAGTGCTAGTTCATGTTCACGGCCCAACCGGTTGAACAAGCTGTTTAGGTTTTTAGAACATTGGTTGTGTTGTGTTGTGTTGTGTTACTCGACTTTTTTTTGTTCATTCTTTTGTGTTAATAATTATGTGATTGTGTATTTGTTAACCAGCATGCAATAGCATATGTTGAAGGAGACAAGTTCTATGGAGCAAAAGCTACTATAAATGTTTGGGAACCAAAGATACAACAAGCTAATGAATTCAGCTTGTCTCAGCTTTGGGTGCTAGGAGGTTCATTTGGTCAAGATCTTAACAGCATCGAAGCTGGCTGGCAGGTACTAAGAATCTCAAAACCTAGCCTCCGGTTTTGATTTCTAAATCCTTAGTTTTCTCCTTCCAAACCCTAACGCCTTCCTCTGAACGACCAACAGGTTAGTCCAGATTTATACGGCGATAACAACACACGGCTATTCACCTACTGGACGGTAACTTTCATTTTTGTTCTAGTTTTAAGTCCTAAAATACTGTTTTTTTTTTCTTTCAAATATTAAACTCATTTTCTGCATGTTGCAGAGTGATGCATATCAAGCTACTGGTTGCTACAATCTTCTTTGCTCGGGATTTATTCAGGTCAGCAGTGACATAGCAATGGGAGCAAGCATTTCTCCGATTTCCTCATACCGAGATTCTCAATACGATATCAGCATACTTATCTGGAAGGTATATAATTCCAAAACATGCCGCATTATTCCTAAATAAATCAACTAATTCTATGCACCACAAGTCTCATAATCCTTCCAACTTGATGTCTGGTACATGGACCATTGTTATGTCCTCTAGTGTTCAGATTCTTTGCAAACTTAGCATCTTTCTCCCATCGGTACAAATTATGACACATTGAAGATTCAAGATTCAAGATTCACAAGTTTTTTCATTTCTTCACTTATTTAACCTACGAGTAAAAACTTTTTTGCCTTTACTAGAAACATGATTAGACACATCTCTGTAGCGCACAGATTCTGGGAATCTATTCCAAATTCTTGATCATGACAAGAACCACCCACATTGGCATATACTAATATGTTTTTTTTTCCCTTTTCGTGTAGGATCCGAAAGAGGGTCATTGGTGGATGCAATTTGGGAACGGCGGAACTGTGATGGGATACTGGCCGTCTTTCTTATTCTCATATTTAGCCGACAGTGCTACGATGATTGAATGGGGAGGAGAAGTTGTTAACTCCGAGCCCGACGGTCAACACACATCAACCGAAATGGGAAGTGGTCATTTTCCAGAAGAAGGATTCGGCAAAGCGAGTTACTTCAGAAACATTCAAGTGGTCGATAGCTCGAATAATCTAAAAGCGCCAAAAGGACTCGGCACTTACACCGAATATCCAAATTGTTATGATGTCCAAACAGGTAGTAATGGAGATTGGGGCCATTTCTTTTACTATGGAGGACCTGGTAAAAATGCAAATTGTCAATGAGATAAAAGAACAAAAATAACAACAATGTGTCTCTTGTAAGTTGTATCATTCAAAATTAATCTTAGCAGTGTTCTTCAATCTTTGTACACCTACCTAGTAGAAAGTTTTGACTGTTTTTTTTTTTAGTTTTATATTGAAAAGATTCTCTCCATTAAGTGGAGAAGAGTGTGGTCAAGTTTCTGAAAAGGCTTAGAGGCTAAAGAAACAGACCCTTTATAACATCCTTATATTTTATTTGGGAGTGTTTGTCAAAATGTAATGGAGCTAGCTACCTAGTGTTTTGTGATTACTAAAACTAGAACTTTCACTTAGAACATGTTGCTAATCTTAATTAAAGAAAAGTGAAAAGTTTGAGGGACTGTGGATGCATGTGAGTTTCTGACACAAGTTTTGTTTTTTTTGCATTTCCTTTTTGATAAAGTGAGATGGGTCTACCACCACACATTTTCAATCTCTTTCACACCAACTTGTTTATGCGGTGCCAAAAGTCGTAGGTCCAATTAATTTTATCCTATGTTTGGTCCTTTGCAACAGTACAAATTTAAATTACAGGTGTAAAGTTTTATTTAATATATAGCACATATGTTTTGTTTTGTTTTGTTCTTCTATAAGGTGTTAAATTCACATGTTTAAAAGTTAGTTATGTCAATTATAAGGTGTACTAGCCTAACAAAATGTTAAAGTCTAGAACTTGAGTAGCTTGTCTTTTATCACATTAGAAATGTAGATTGATTGAAATGTGTTTGGTTAATTTGAATAGAGTCTAAATTGTTGTGTATATATAAAAATGTTTTAGAAAAGTTCAAGAGTCAAATCTTTGTTCAACTTTTAAGAGATTAGGTAATGATGAAGAATCAAGATGAAAATTCTTTGTCGTTAACTTTTTTTTCTTTCAACAAAAGTACATTTTTTGGTTGAAATTGTTATTTTTTTCATAGAAAATTATTTGTTGGTAACAATTAATATGGGTTTGATCTGCTCACGTGATCTAGCACATAAGCAAAATACATTACATTGATTAGAAATGTTGACACCAAATTTAGTATCCTATGTATGAAAGTGAAATATACCTTTTGCATAAACTCAATCTTTAGTCCTTTTTTATTTATGAGAATTGACCCTTAGTACTTACAGCTTACAAGAACATTAAATAAAAGGTTTTCATATTAGAAAAAAATAATAATTGATTTTTCACATTGTTTATGAATAAAATGTCAAATTTATAAAAAAGATTATTCATGTATTTATTATGGCTCACAATGGGTTTTTAAGTTAACTTTTGGCGTTAAGAGCATCTATATCATGATTTTTTTTTGGTCTTAAATGGATCTCATTAAGCCTCGTATTTCAAAAAGAAGCATTATAAAAGGGGATCTCCAAGAGATCTCCAAGAGATCATCAAAATGAATTAAATCTAAAAGAAGACATATCTGGTCTTTTTTGTACAAGTCCCTAGGAATGAAATAAAAAAGGATGAGGGAGTTGCAATTGAGACCAACATTGACTATGAATCGGCACAAGAGTTCCCTTATCTATAGATGTGTGAAATTAACAAGTGTTTATGAGTAAAATAATCTAAACAACTAAGCCATTGGTATCTTAACTGTCAAGGCAATAAAGATTGATTATGGAAAGCTGTACGACATCGGTGTTGAAAGTAATTTCTTGTGTCATAGCAGTTTGCTCGACAGAGACAAAGGAATGTCGAAAAGATTTGATTTGATTTAGAAATGTGGAAATATTTTGTTACACGCAGATTTATTTTAGATTTAGATAGATTTGATTTAGATCTAAAATATAATATATTTGATTTAGTTCTAACATAGGTGTTTTGGGCTTTTATAGTTGTGGGCTTTTAACTTAGGGAGCAAGCTAATCTAAATCTATAAATAGGGAGTAATCCCTATTTTTTATAATCAAGTCAATTCATTGTATTCACAGAATTTGCAGTTGCAAGTGAATAATAAAGTTTTTCACAGTTTGTGGACAAAGAGAAACTCTGCAGAAAATAATTGTCTTCTTTATTTTCTTTTCATATAATTCATTGTCATTGTATGGTGATATGAATCTTGTTCATCAAGATTGGTAGAAATTCATCATAGATTTTGATTGATTTCTAACATCTGGTATCAAGAGCTCTGGTTGAGTGATTCAAGGGAAGAGCGATCAAGAACGATTGAGGAAGAAGAAGAAGATCACAATGGCGATGAATTACACTAACGAAAATTTTCTAGCAAGTCTCCCAATTTTTAAAGGTGATAACTATGAGAATTGGTGCAAACAGATGAAGATTATATTTTGTTTTCAAGGTCTTTAGAATCTTATGAAACGTGGATTAGAACTGCTTGATGAAGATGCTTCAAAAAAAGAAGAAGCAGAATACAAAGAATCGAAGAAGAAGAATTATAAAGCTCTCTTTGTAATTCATCAATGAGTCAACCCAGACAATTTCGAAAATGTTAGTGATGTAGAATCTGCAAAAGAAACTTGGGAAATTCTAAAGAAATCGTTTGGAGGCGCTGAGAAAGTGAAAGAGGTGAAGTTAATAACTCACAAAAGAACGTATAAATTGCTTCACATGGAAGATAGCGAAATCATATATGATTTCTTCACTAGGGTTACGAAACTAGTGAATCAAATCAAGACTTGTGGAGAGACGTTAACAATAAGAGTTGTTGTTTCAAAGATCTTAAGATCTTTGGCTCTGAAGTTCGACCATGTGGTAGTTGCCATAGAAGAGTCGAAGGACATATCATCTTTGTTAAAGGAAAAGCTTCAGGGGATACTTGAATCTCACGAAAAAAGAATGACTGAAAGAGTTACAGGCAAGTTGAAGAGTGATGTGGATTTGCAGGCTCAATCAACAAGAGACAAGAAAGGCAAAGAAAAGTGGTTTGACAATAAAGGTAGAGGTGGCTACAACAATTCGACTATTAGAGGAAATTAACACGAAGAAAACACATCGAATAAGAGAAGAACATACCAAGGCAACCAAAGAGGTGGTGTTGCAAATAGAGGAAGAGGCAGTGGTCGAAAACCTGACAAGAGTCACATTCAATGTTTTAATTGTCAGAAGTATGGTCACTATTCTAGTGAGCATCCAGAAAAGCGAAAGAATCAAGAAAGTGATGCAAAGTTTGCAAAACATGAAGAAGAAGAAGAGATGATATTGATGGTCACCACAAGAGATAAAGATAGATTCAAGGACCAATGGTACTTGGATTCATGATGCTCATCACACATATCTGGAAGAAAATATTTGTCTGTCAATATAAAAATCTCGATGAAGAACACTGTGAAATTTACAAATGACAATACCATAACAACTGAAGGTATTCGTGATGTTATGGTTATGAGGAAATATGGCAAAAGGTCAGTAATTTCCAATGTGTTGTACATACCAGGCATGAAGAGCAATTTTCTCAGTATAGGACAGTTGGTCGAAAAGAATTATAAAGTGTTGATCAAAGACAAGATGATGAGAGTCATTAACAAGATGGAAGGTTAATCTTGAAGGCTTCCATGTCTCAAAATAGAACCTTAAAGATTGAACTTAATGTGATGGAGCACGAGTGCCTTTCAATTGCAGCTAGCAGAGATGAATGAATATGGCACTATCGACTAGGTCATCTCAACTTCAGAGACATCAAAGATGTAAAGAGAAGAAATATGGTTTTAGGATTGCCAGAAATCGATATTCCAAACGAGGTATATGAGGAATGTGTGCAGGCAAAGCAACACAAGAATAACTTCAGCAAGGATGCATGAAGCAGGTCAAAGGCTATTTTTGAAGTCATATACTCTGATGTATGTGGACCAATCCAGTTGGATTCGATGGGAGGTAACAAATACTTTGTTACATTCATATATGATTTTAGTCAAAAAATATGGACTTACATGATCAAGAAGAAATGTGAAGTGATCGAGGTATTTACCAAGTTTAAGTCTATGGTTGAAAGACAAAGTGGTCAAAAGCTCGAAGTTTTGAGAACTAATGATGGCGAAGAATATGTGTTGAAAAACTTTGACAAGTTATGCGAGAAAAAAGGGATTGTGCATGAGGTGGTGCCACCCTGCACTCCACAGCAAAATAGAACTGCAAAAAGGAAGAATTGAACCATCATGAATATGGTGAGAAATATGTTGAAAGGCAAGAATTTACCTAAAGAGTTTTGGGGTGAAGTTGTGTCAACTGCAACATACATTTTGAACATATGTCCTACGAAGAAGCTAGAAGGAATTACTCCAGAAGAATGTTGGTCTGGTGTGAAGCCTAGCTTGAGTCATCTGAAGGTATTTGGATCTATTGCACATAGACATGTGCCAGATCAATTGAGAAGAAAACTTGATGATAAGTTGAGTCAAATGATTCTAGTTGGATATCATTCAACATGAGATTACAAGTTGTTCGATCTAGTGAACAAGCAGATTGTGATCAACAGAGACGTGATCATAGATGAGCTTAAAGAATGGGATTGAACTAAAAATGTCAAGAAAGATTAAGTGGGAATCCTACTTGAGGAACCAAAAACTCAAGTCAAAAGAGAAGTTCGACAAGGGGAACCAGCGGTTATAGATCAACCAAGTACAAGCAGAACTCAAAGAAAAAGACGCATACGTGAAAGGTTGCAAGAATGTGTGATTACATCAGATTATGTGGTTGATAACGAAGCTGAGCTGGTATATTATGCTTTATATGCAAATGTCGAACCAGTCAATGCAGCTGAAGCATTGAAATATTCAAAGGGGGGTGAAAGCAATGAACAAAGAAGTGAAGTCTATCGTAGACAATAATACTTGGTCACTTTTCAAATTGCCTCAAGGAAATAAGGTAATTGATGTCTGTTATACCCCAAAATTTGCCCTCTCATTTCTCAAGAATTTCCCACAAGATTTTCTTTGACTCAAGTTTGCAGCGCTGATACATCAATTTAAGTTTGGAATTGGCACAAGGGCAAAATGGTCAAAATGCACACTAAAAAGTCAAACTTTGACTTTTG